AGCGGCTTGCTAAAAACTGAGTCATATTGGGACTTGAGTAGCTCACTCATTTCCTTGCTGTCATCTGTGTAGGACCCATCTTGTTTAAGTAGGGGCCCAATACTGGACGTTGTTCTCAACTTTGATTTGACATAAGAAAAGAAATACTTTGGGCTTCTTTCGATTTCATTTATGGCTTTTAGTTCTTCCCGCGATTCCTGACTCCTATAAGATTCCTTTAGCTTTAGTTCGATGTTTGCTGTTTCTCTGACCAGTGTCTCCCAACGCATTTCAGATATATTGGCCTCTTTTAGCCGCTCTGTTATTCTTTTCCGTCGTCTGTAAAGGGAGCGCCTGTCTCTTTCTATTTTACATCTACTCCTCCTTGAGCATACATCGAGTGCCACAGAGTTAATCTGTTCTAGTCATAAGTTGGGGTCTGTGTTGCTAAGTCTATCTTCCCAGCTTATATCGTTTAGGACTTGGTTTACTTGGTCCCACTTTGTGTTCTTGTTATTGAAGTTGAATTTGGTGAAGGCTCCCTCGTGACTGATCTCATTTTGTCGTTCTGGGACTCCGTGCATACATGTCTGAACCTCGATTATGTTGTGATCTGAGTATATTGTTTTTGATATGGTGACATTTCGCATCAGATCATCATTGTTAGTGAAGATGAGGTCTAGTGTATTCTCCAGTCTAGTAGGCTCTATTATTTGCTGGTTTAAGTTGAATTTTGTGCAGAGATTTAAAAGCTCGTGTGTGTGAGAGTTCTCGTCAGAGCTGCCTCCTTGTGTTATCACTGCAACAACATTATTTACTATATTCCTCCATTTTAGGTGCCTCAAGTTGAAATCCCCCAGGAGCAAGATGTTGGGGGCAGGAGCTGGAAGATTTTTCAGACAGTGGTCAATTTTCAACAGCTGTTCCTGGAATTGCTGGGACGTTGCATCTGGAGGCTTGTAGACTACCACAATGACTAGGTTTTGGTTCTTGATCTTTACTGCTAAAACTTCCACTACATCATTTGAGGCATTAAGCAGTTATGTGCAAATAAGTGACTCTGCGATATACAGGCCAACCCCCCCTCCTTTGCCTGTTCACTCTGTCACATCTGTATAGGTTGTAACCTGGGATCCATATTTCGTTGTCCAAGTGATACTTTATGTGGGTCTCTGTGAAAGCCGCGAACGTTGCATTTACCTCTGCAAGCAGTCCACAGATGAAAGGCATTTTGTTCGTTGCTGGCTTTAGACCCTGTGTATTTGCAAAGAAGAATGTCACCGGACTGGTGGTACTTGGTCTGCCAGCTGAGTTCATATGTCACGCCATGCTTGTGCTGCCACCTATAGGCTTATGTCACTTCAGTATGCCCAGACCAGCCTCTCTTTCACTCAGTGGCCTTCACTCAGTCAACAAGGCCTACTCCTCTCTCTCTCTCGCAGGCCATGGCCCTCCTGGGTCATGGGCACTAAACACACTGCCTGTGTACCCCATGACACTGCAAATAAAGAAGCCTCCGAAGCCTTATCATTACTCCCCGCTACCAAGAACCACCAATTAACCCATAATAAATGGTGGAAGCTGTGGTCGCAGCAAGTGTTTTTGCCCAGAGAAAGGAAGGAAGAGGTATGAAGTTGTCTTCACTTCATCACCCCTCACGAGAAGCATCCTTCTCTCAACGAGTTATCCTGATGTCCTGTCTACACGTTTCAGCATCCAGACACAGGTACAATCGGGATTTGGCCGAAATTTACCGAATTTCTTCGAGAATTGTAAGTGGCTTCTCTCTGACTCCACACCACAGCGTCCCACACTTTTTCTCAAGTCACGTGTTTAGCGTTACTTGTATGTTGCTGCTGTTGTTGTTCAGCTCAACATAGCTATTTCAGCAAGTCAGAGGTGAGTTTTGTGGTTATTTCTGCATCCATTGTGAGTGTTTCTCCTGTGGTTGTGGGTGGGAGAGGAGGAAGTGGCCGTTCCTTGCCTAGTCCACGCTCACCCTGCTGTACACTGCACCATACACTACTCACCGTTGCTCTCACTCCCTCTGCTGTGTTTTCTGTTGTTTTCTGTGTGAATTCACTGCCAGAGCTGTGTATCTGAGTGCCCGAGGCCACTCGGAGCCACGTGGATCACCAAGCTACTTAGATCACCAAGCCATGTAGATCACCAAGCCATGTGGAGCAAGCTACGTGGGGTGTGGACGATGTCATGTGGATCTACAAGCCAGACGTCCCAGGCCACATGCTGCGGTCTGCTGCCTCATCACTCCACTGACGTCACCTCACGACATCACCCACGATGTTGCCCGACTTCACGACATCACCATGCTGCTACGTCACCTCGCAATGTCACCCCATGACATCACCTCACGACGTCATGCCTGATCGACAGTGTTAGTTTCACAGTGAGCAATATGTTGTATTATCGAGAAGATTGAGGGAAGATATATGTCATGTGTTAATTCATTCTTCTCAGTGTTCTCACATGTTTGTGTATAGCTTAGTGTCGATTTTTGCACAGAAAAGCGTCATTTGCTAGTGTAAGCCATGTAGTACCGCATGTGCAGTGCAGGTGTGTGCAGTTTTCCGTGTGTCCTGTGTGGTTTTGAGCCCAGACCACTGTGTAGTACCTCGTGTTACTTGTCACCCAGTGTGACCCGCGCGTTTGACAGCTGATATTAGTCAGCCCTGAGTGCCTGAGCCTCTTGTACAGAAAGTTCTTATGCCCATCGCTTGGGATGTCCTGCAGAATCGTACCTGCTATGATTCCCATCAAGATTTATTACACTTCACCTCCAGACCATCAGAGTGCAGTTATATGTAGAGAAACAAGTCTGGGGATGCTTAGACTAACCTCTGCTATAACTCCAACTGCCGAGAGAATGACACTCGTCAAGTCGCAGTTAGACCCTGATGGCAGGCGCTGTGTCAGCCTCGTGTCATAGCTTCAGTGAGCAGCTTGCACAAAGATGATGCCACTTTGACTGCTAGCCTGCTCACTGCAGTATGGTGTATGATGTTATGACTCCCAGATGTTTCGCCGAGTCGTCTCTGCCATGACTCACTCCACGCTCGCTGGCAGTGACAGCCCCAGTGACAGTACCAGTCGAGAAATGTCCTGAGTCGCTTGCCAGAAGTAGTCCTGCCCAGTTGCCAAGTACTGACGATGCCTCACTCGAGGGCACCAGCAGTTTGTGCCCCAGGTTGAGTGAAATCTTGCAGCGACTCATACGATGACTGCTTCACCGTTCCAGAGGAGACCGTACCCTGTTATGTCACAGCTCAGCCGCAGCGATGTCTCCTGTGCTGCAGTATCTGTCCAGACGCAGGAAGGCGTTCAGTGATGCCCCTCGACGCTCACTGCCTATGACCATGATGTTTAGCACACCCTACCTGTTTTTCTCTTCCCTCCCAGTAGGAAGTTTTTTTTTCCATGTCCATGTATGTATATATATATGCTTTTATTTTGTGTTCTCTGCTCTGTTCCTGCGAGAGAGAGACTGAGTTTTTTTTACAGCCATTCATGGTCAGGGACGACCATGGTGGTGCATGACCGAGTGAATGTAGACAGCCTGTACTGTCTGCATAGACAGTCTATGCTGTCTGCCAGCTGAGTTCATATTTTGTGCCATGCTTGTGCTGCCACCTATAGGCCTATGTCACTTCAGTATGCCCAGACCTGCCTCTCATTCAGCGGCCTTCACTCAGTCAACAAGGCGTACTCCTTTCTCCCTTGCGGGCATGGCCCTCCTGGGCCATGGGGTCTTAACACACTGCCTATGTACCCCACGAAATAGCAAATAAAGTAAGAAGCCTCCAAAGCCTTATCATTACTCCCCGCTACCAAGAACCACCAATTAACCCATAATAGGTGTGGGTCGCATCCTGGGACAAAACTGACCTAATTTGCGGAAATGCTCTACATAACAAGCCGCTTTCTATATAGTAGTATGTCATTGATGTCAGCTATGGTCTGTATACCTTGTACATGTACTTGTAGAAATAAATATATTAATTTTATATACCTCCAATGTTCAAGGACCATCCAATGATTCATAATATGATACAAATCTACAAACTCCTAATTTCTGAAAGTACAGTACAAAAGCCATTGCTGACATCATGTCATACTAAATAGAATGTGGCTTTTATGTAGAGCATTTGTGCAAAATTAGGTCATTTTTAATACGGACCCACACCGAGGTACCCACTTTCAAGATTGAAATAGAAATAGTGTAAGGAATTACACCCAGTATAAACATTGACGGGAATCGACCCGGACTTACGTATAAGCGAGAAGCTTTGCCACTAGGCACTGGGCTTCCCGAGATAGTTCAGTGGCTATAAGGGTTCATTGCCGAGTCCAAGGATTCATATGACATCAAATAACACAAGCCTTCAAATAATTATAGGCTATAAAGTTCATGGGCGGTCAACTAGTTCATAGCGTATCAAGGAGGCTTTGCAAGGTCAAGGACTCGAAGGGTTCATAGGGATATCAAAGGATTCAAGCTTAAAGGTTCAGGGCCATCAAAATCAAACAATCAAGCTATTCTCATAAGTGGTTTCATTGGGGTTTAACAGGATTTGGATATTGTGTGGTTTACATGTTAAAAAAAATACAAACGGTTCAAAAGTTAGATTTGTAGGTTTGTTTATATGACCCAGATCCCATCTGTGGGCGTATAAAAGATTACAGGGTACATAATTGTCCAGGGATGGACTCCAAAGTTTTGATAGCTGAGAACGTTACAAAGGTAATGAACTAGATCTTCATAATCATGCCAAGTTTCATAAAGTAAATGAATAGTTTCCAAAAGAGGTATCAAAAGGCCACCAAAAGGATTCCAATGGAAATAAGTCACTCTGACTTTTTTAGATTATCCCAGGTTCTCTATACATGTACTGCTATGTATGATAATCTATGTAACTGTATTTGTGTATACGTGAATAAACTTGCAGGACCATCAGTTGAATTTGCAAGAGCAGGTGGGTGAAAGGGTTGATGCGGCCCCTGGACGGTACCAGCTGTACAACAACAACAACAAGACGAGGCAGCGCTGGTGGAGCCTTGTGAGTGTGTCTTGCAACACGGTGATTACTGGGAACCAACGGAGGCTCTTTTTCATCATGGCGTCACGTGATGTTCTGAGCAGACTAGAGCAGAAAGCCATAGAGACAGAGAAAATGATAGAGCTCCTCACAAAACAGGTAAAATAGAGCTATGCTGCCGGAACTCCACATGTTTTGACGCTGGTGAAGGGCTCTTGATCTAGGGAGCTGGATCTGTGCTCCGGTTCCCTGTATTAAGCCGGAATACCTTCCACGTCCCCCCCCTTATATGCGCTGCGTAATCCTACGGGTTTAGCGCTCCCCTTGATTGTAATAATAATCCACATGTTTTGATATCCGCCCCCAGGGAAGCTCATTCGTGCTGGTGATGGGCTCTACATCCAAGGAATTTGACCTGTCATTCCTTTCCTTGGGTTGAATTTGAGTGCTCATTCCCCAGACGCATGACCCCCTGTGGATTTAGCGCTCCCTCGTAAATATAATATTCGTGACTCGGTTGGTAGCGGCCTCAGCTCGCACATTAAGGCACCAGGGTTCGATTTCCGGCATGGACATGTTTCCTTACACCTGCTTTCCCTGTCCACCTAGCAGTAAGTAGGTACCTGGGTGTTAGCCGACTGGTGTGGGTCGCATCCTGGGAGTAACTTTTTTTTATACTAAATACTAAACCCATGTGAGTCATTCAGTGGAAGATGTGGTGAAGGCTCAATCCTCTATCTGCTGAGCATTACACAGACACATGCCCCATTTATATTCTGGAAGTATCCCTGGGAGACAAGATTAATGAACCTCCAATGGGAATAAGACGAACAGTTCTTGATGACGCACTGACTTTCTTGGGTTATCCTGGGTGGCTAACCCTTCCCCAGGTTATCCTGGGTGGCTAACCCTTCCCCAAGTTATCCTGGGTGGCTAACCCTTCCCCAGGTTATCCTGGGTGGTTAACCCTTCCCCAGGTTATCCTGGGTGGCTAACCCTTCCCAGGTTTTCCTGGGTAGTTAACCCTCCCTTTGGTTATCCTGGGTGCCTTACCCTCCCCTAGGTTATCCTGGGTGATCAACCCTCCTCTGGGTTATCCTGGGTGGCTATCCCTTCCCTGGGTTATCCTGGGTGGCTAACCATCCCTGGGGTTAAAAATCCCAACAAATCTTATATCATCCTGGGGGAGGAGGATTGAAGAAGCCCAATGGAAATGAGACAAAGTGTCTGATGACATGAATTAATTGGGTTGTCCTTTGTTAATCCAAACAAAAACTCCAGTCCACGTGATACTGGTGAAAGGCTCTGAATATGAGGAATATGAGCAGTTATCCCCTGTGGATAATTTCTAATTGCCAGCCATTTCCCCAGTGTTGCATCATCATTATAGGCTTAATAAATCTTGTGAAGATCATAAACCACAGAATGGGTGGAGATTGAGCCCACGGCAAGTGAGTCCTAGTATGACCCTAGTGGGTCTTACAACCCAGGAGTCCTAAGGCCTGTTATCATGGTGTAAAGGGAGCAAAATAAACACAGCAGAAAAATTTGACTTATATTATCCTTCACCAAGTAAGAACAGAATTATGTACACTATATAGCACTGGTCGCCGTTGCCCAGCGGTGAGAGTAGCCACTCTTATTCTAGGTAGTAGGTTGGTAGACAGCAACCGCCCAGGGAGGTACTACCGTCCTGCCAAGTGAGTGTAAAACGAAAGCCTGTAATTGTTTTACATGATGGTAGGATTGCAGGTGTCCTTTTTATTCTGTCTCATAAACATGCAAGATTTCAGGTACGTCTTGCTACTTCTACTTACTCTTAGGTCACACTACACATGCATGTGCAAGCATATATATGTATATATACACATCCCTCTGGGTTTTCTTCTATTTTCTTTCTAGTTCTTGTTGTTGTTTATTTCCTCTTACCTCCATGGGGAAGTGGAACAGAATTCTTCCTCCGTAAGCCACGCGTGTTGTAAGAGGCGACTAAAATGCTGGGAGCAAGGGGCTAGTAACCCCTTCTCCCGTATAAATTACTAAATTTAAAAAGAGAAACTTTCGTTTTTCTTTTTGGGCCACCCTGCCTTGGTGGGATATGGCCGGTTTGTTGAAAAAAAAAAAAATACACTATGTACAAAAAATATACACTATGTACAACAATAGGTATTAGTGCACTCCACGATAAGCAAGGCAGAATAGAAGCCACTAGAATGGAAATGACAAGGGCAGACAGGTGTGTCGGTACCCACATCACCTCTGCAATTGCCAAAACCATCTTCTCATTGGCTGGAACCTGGGTACTGATTGAACAATGGGGCCCTGTCATTAACCCTTAGCACCTGGTTTGCTGGTTGGAGGAGATAGCCTTTCAATGAGGGTGTGTACATGCGCCGAATAAAGGTTATGTACTCTTTGCATGCCACACCCCCACCCTGAGAGGCTCAGGAATAGGCTCCCACCTCCCATTGGTAACTGTGCCACCATGGCACCATATAATGGGACTGCCTTTCCTCTCAACCATCCAGCTCTTAGAGCTCAGCTTTATTTGCGACATAAAGCCAAACTCTAAACTCAGAGCGAGACAGCAGACAGTAGGGATAATATAGGTCCAAGACATGGGTGGACGGTACCCCGCATCCCCTCACTAAAAAAAACCCACACAAGGGGACAAAAAAAAGAGCTTGTACTGGTCACCACAGGTCCCAAACACATCCTAACCTAAAATAATAATGTATCTGATAATGTATCTCCCAACTTATTTTCTTTGCCGGCATTGTGTAATATTTTGAGAGAATAGGGTTGCAGTCGTAGATTCCATCTCATGAGCCATGTATTGTGGTTCTTCATGGCTTGGAGATATACTAGAGGGTTGTGGTCACTATAGACAGTGACCACCTGTGAAGTCTGGCCCACGTAAACATCGAAGTGCTCCAAAGCCAGTACCAGCGTGAGGGCTTCTTTTTCGATAGTAGAGTAAGCCCTCTGGTGTGGCTGGAACTTTGACGAGTAGAATGCTACAGGCTGCAACCCCTCGTCCCCGTTTTGCATCAGTACTGCCTTAACCCCAGACTCACAAGCATCAACCTGTAACGAGAAAGGTTTGGACGAAGACGAGACAAAAGAATGGGTGCAGTACACAATAATCTTTTTGCTTTCGTAAAAGCATTTTGACATTCTGGGGTCCAATTAAAGGGAACCTTGTGACTGGTAAGAGGTAAGAGGGGCTACAATATCTGAAAATTTTTTACAGAATTTTCTGTAAAACCCTATTATGCCTAGGAAACATTGAAGAGATTTCCTATCATGGGGAATTGGGTAATCTTTAATGAAAAGAACTTTAGCAAATTTAGGAGCAACTTTGCCACTACCTACTTCAGTGGCCCAGGAAAGTAACAGTGGCCTGGCCAAAGGAAGACTTAGATAAATTAACAGTTAAATGGGAACTCTGAAAGGTCTCAAAAAGAGCCTTAAGCCTTAATAGGTGTTGATCCCAAGTATCAGACACCACTACGATGTCATCTAGGTAAGCTGCCGTGCCTTTAAGTCCTTTAATAACCTGATGGATAAGTTTCCTGAATGAAGAGGGGGAGTTTTTCATTCCGAAGGGGGTAACTGTATATTGATAATGACCTCCTGGAATTACAAAGGCAGAGATTTCCTTCGCCTTATCCGCCAAGGTACCTGATAGTAACCTTTAAGGAGATCTAACTTTGACACAAAAGTAGCCTTACCCACAAAGTCTATTACGTCATCCAGACGAGGAAGAGGGTAAGCATCTGTGATTGTGACCTCATTCACCTTACGGTAGTCTGTACACATACGAAAACATCCATCAGCTTTTTTAACAAGGATGCACGGTGAAGCCCATGGACTGGATGACTCCTCCACTAACCCATGCTCTAACAGAAATTCTACCTCCTGCTGAAGTAGCTTCTGCTCTTCAGGATTAGCTCTGTAGGGGGAGAGTTTAATAGGTTTAGAGTTTCCCACATCTACGTCATGATAACCTAACGTACATTTTTTTCGGCACATCCGAAAAAATATCAGGGTATGATTGTAGAAGCACAGTTAGACTTGTTGGTCAAGTTTCAGACAGCCCCGCCATTAAAGGGTTAGGGTCCTTGAGAAGGACAGAGTTTGGAAGCTTGACATTAATTTCAGAAATAGAGTGCAAAGAGTCAAAGTCATCCTCAGAGGTAGAGGACAGAGTCATTACTGGGACTTTATCTGGTGTATGAAAAGATTTTAATTGATTAATGTGGTAAGTTTTAGTTTTTGAGGTCTTATCAAGGGGAGATACCACATAATTTACATCAGATAATTTACTTACAATTTGCATAGGTCCCGTAAATCTAGCTTTCAAGGTGTGGCCAGGTATAGGTTCCTATACCAACACCTTGTCTCCTGGATGGAAGGAGTGGAATTGTGCATTTCTCTCATACCTCTGTTTCATCTTGTTTTGAGCTGCCTTTAGGTTAGCCTTGGCTAACTGACGTGCCACCTGCAACCTTGAAGATGGGTTGTAGAGTGTTGAGCTAACGTCTTCTCCCATCTATCCTTCTTTGAGCACCTGAAGAGGACCTCGTACATTGTGCCCAAAGATCAGCTCAAATGGACTGTACCCAGTAGACTCCTGCACAGTTTCTCTTATTAAAAACAGCAACAGAGGTAGTGATTCATCCCAGTCTGTAGGAAAATGCATACAAAAAGTTCTCATCATGGTTTTTAACGTCTGATGGAATCTTTCCAAGGTGCCTTGGGACTAAGGATGATAGGCATTGGATAAGTTGTGGATTATCCCTAACCTAGTTAATGCTTCCCTAAATGCTTTGGCAGTGAAGTTAGTACCTTGATCACTTTGAATAGATTTAGGAATGCCAAAACAAGAAATAAATCTGGTTAAAGCCTTGAGAATGGCTTTTGTATTAATACTGGGCATGGGAATTGCTTCTGGATATCTAGTTACTGTATCCATAATGGTAAATAAGTACTGATTTCCAGACTTTGACTTATATAGTGGACCTATACAATCTATAATTAATTCTGCAAAAGGTTCTCCATAAGCAGGTGTGGGCTGGAGAGGTGCAGGTTTAGTGGAATGTCCAGGTTTCCCTACTTGCTGACATTCTCGGCAACATTGGATATGATTCTTCACA